TTTGTAATTAAAATCTTTTAAAGGAATCTTATATCTCTCTATTTCTTGCAACAGACACTCATTTTATCCAAATTATTTATTTATTTATTATTTATTATAATTTTTGTGAAAATTTAAAAAAAATAAAAATCATAAAAAAAATTTAAAATCGTAAAAAATTTTGAGTATTGAATTAGTGAGAATCAATGATAATCTCAACATTCAAAAAGTCCTAATAATGAAGTCATTTGATCTTCTTAAAAAATGAATGGAATTTAATAAAAAATAGAAAAGAAGGTTGAAAAGAAATCAAATCATAGACTAAAAATCAAATTAAATTTAAGAAAGTTTTTAGAGGATTTAAGGGCTTCTAAAAATCAAGGAAAATCAAGACAATTAAATCCAAAAAATAAATCAGCATTAAACTAGTTTAAAAAAATTAAAAAGAAATGAAAAGTTCAAAAAAACCAAATCAAAGTATAATGGGATCTACAATTTTCTCAATTCATTGCTTTTCCTAAAATCTTCAACAAAGAACCCTATATATGTTAGGCAAAAAACCTCATATCAATTAATCATCAAAACCAGTGAAAATCTAATCAAACAATTAATCAATTAATCAATTACATAAGAGATAGTAATTTAACATAATTCAGCCAATCGATTTACGTCTACGGATGAAAAACAAAAGCTACTAATTGTAGAGAATTACAATTATATTAATCATATCAACTTCACTAAATAATCAATATTCATAAGATCTTTTCAATCTACTTTAGTCCTATAGAGTATTCTTAACCTAAATAAATACATAACATGTACACTTATATACCCATACCTATGTAGATCATCTCAGTTTTCTCTAGTCCATTACAACATACACACCTATACCTATGTTAACATTCTCACTCTCCGCTAGTCCACTCACAAACATTCAAACCGTTATGCCTATGTGGACTCTTTCAGTCTCTTTTAGTCCACTTAAATATACACATCCATAAGGACGTTAATCTCCTGTAGTCCTATGAGGTGTCTATCCTATAAAATCCTATAACTCTCTTACATCTTTTTTATACCTAACCCTATAGAGACTTAACTTATTTATAAGCATACAAACTTGCCTATTAAGAATCCATTTTCTCTTAGAATTCTTCTTCTACAAGTTTTATTGTTCATCACACAATATCTTACTAATCTCAAACAAATCACTTATGGGATTTAAGTCACTATTTCCAACAATCTTTACCTTGACTCAAATTCCATCAAATCATCAATCTTCATGCTAGACATACTTGGTTCTACTTGCAATGGAAGTCTCACAATTATTTTCTCTTATGTGTTTTCACGTTTCACGCAAATCAATATTTAAAATACAAACTCGAACTTCTTCCTTGAGTTAAGCTCCTCTGGACTTACTTTTTCCTATAGCACGTACTATGCTATGATATCACTATTAGGCCAAATAGCTCCAATTCAATCACACCAGCAAAAGCGAAATCAAATAATTAATCAATCAATCATATAAGAGACAATAATTTAACATGATTTAGGCTAACCTGCCTATGTCCATGGATGAGAAAATAAAATCTACTAATTGTAGAGAATTACAAACATACAAATTATATCAACTTCACTCAATAATTAATACTCATAAGACCCTCTCAATCACCTTTAATCTTATGGAGTATTCTCAACCTAAACAAATACATATCCATATACACTCATGCACCCATATCTATGTAGACCATCTTAGTCTTCTCTAGCCTACTCCAACATATACACTCATATGTATGTGAACACTCTTAGTCTCCTCCAGTTCACTCATAAACATTCATACCACCATGTCTACATGAGCTCTCTCAGTCTTTCTTAATACACTTAAACATACACACCCGTAAAGATGTTAGTCTCTTGTAGTTTTATAGAGTGTCTGTCCCATAAAATCTTATTATTTTTTTACATCTTTTTTTCATACCTAACATTATAGAGACTTAATCTATTTATAAGCATATAAACTTACCTAATAAGAATCCATTTCTTTTTAAAATTTTTTTTTTTTGTAAGTTTTATTGTTCATCAAGTATTATCTTACTAATCTCAAATAAATTACTTATGAGATTTAAATCACTATTCCTAACACAATTCAAACACAAGAGACACGTAAAAGAAAGAGAGTCGAAAAAATGAGTTGGAACTTGCGCTCGAAGTACTTCTTGCAACAAGGCAGTAAGGGGAGCGGTGATGAAACACGAACAAAACAACAGAGAAATAAAGAAGAAAAGCCAAGGGAAAGTGGAAGAGTTTATTGCAGAAAAAACAATTCCAGCTTCCAGTTTCTTGAGCCATGTCTGTTCCTACCAGGTAAATAACACTTTCAAGCCTTTGTTCTGCATCCATATTTTTTACTTGGTAAAGTGCAAAAATTGGCTTTAAAGGTGTTGAGCAATCATGACTATTGGTTGGATCGGTGATTGCATTAAAATTACATTACTTTCTGAAACCCAAAGCATGAGTCTTGGAAACATCCAATTACCCTTTAGTTGGTATGGTGGGTGAGTGCATTAAATTGTGCTACTTTCTCTACATGAAACCCCAAGCATGAATCTGAGAAGCATTCAGTTGTTACCCTTTATATTATTATTATTATTATTATTAGTTCTGTTTTACATATGAAATAATTTAAATTACTAAAATTTGAAAATAAATAAAAATTTTCATAATGAAATCACAAGTGATGATTTTCTTAAATCACAAGTGATGATTTTCTTAAATGAAAAAAATTCTTAAGATTTTGTCTAAAGGAGTAGGAGGATTTTCAGGAATTTTTCAATAAAAGAAATTTTATTTATTTTTCAAAAGGTATTAAATAATTAATTGTAATTTTTTTTGTTATATAACATTTAATAATTAATAAATTAATAAGTAAAAATTCTCCAAAAATGAAATTTTCTTGACAATTTTTAAGTGAGGAATTTTTCTTAGATCTTACCAAAAATATTGGGAGGATTTTAGAAAATTTTCAATAAAAATTTTTTTATTTATTTTCTTATAAAATTTAATAATTAATAAATTAATAAGTTAAAATTCTTTGAAGATGAAATTAAGAGAAAATAACAATTAGTGAATTTCTTGACTATTTTTAGGTAATGAATTTTTCTTAAATTTTATCAAAAGTGTTTAGAGGATTTTGGAAAATTTTCATTAAAAGAAAATTTTATTTATTTTCTCATAACATTTAATATTTAATATTTAATAAATTTATAAGTAAGAACCTCTAATAATAGAATTAAGAGAAAATCATAAGTGGTGAATTTCTTGACATTTTTTAGATGAAGGATTGTTTCTAAAATTTGATCAAAATTGTTGGGAAGATTTTGAGAAATCTTCAATAAAATAAATTTTATTTATTTTCTCATTAAATTTAATAATTAATAAGTTAGTAAATAAAAAATTTCCAAGGATGGAATTAATTAAGAGAAACACAAGTGGATTTATTTGAGAATTCCTAGGGAGAACTTTTCCTAAATCTTCCCAAGAGTGTTAAGAAGATTTTGTGAATCTTTTGATAAATGGAATTTTAATTTACTCCCTTAATAAAATACTTAATAAATGATTCAAGAATTTTTTAGGTAAAAATGATAAAGATCATTTAATTAGACCAATATATAAGTTATTATAAAATTAATTAGTATCAATTTTTGTATGATGTGATATGTTAAAATTTTTCTTACACATAATTAATTCTCGAATTTAATTTTGTTTGTAGATTAGAATATATTATTTTTAGAAGCTCTAAAATAATCTTACGATAATTTTAAAGATTATAAATTCATTTAAATGATTAATTTGACATTATGATAATATTGATATTTAAAACTTACAGAGCCCATTACTTAATTTGCAAAAATTCCTTCTTATATCTCTTCCCCATAAATTAAATTTTCATATTTCATAAATATTTAAAGAGGCTACATTCGACCACGTCTTCAAAACAAATCACAATCCTTTTATAGAAAAATAGCACATTCCTCATTATTTGGTTTTAAATAAAAGAATTTAAGTTAAATTCCTAAGAAATTGGTATTCCATATTCATTTTTAAAGAGGCCACATTCCTTCACGTCTTCAAAACAAATCACAATCCTTTTAGAATTGTTAAGGTTTATAAGGTTAAAAATCTTTCCTCTCTCTCTATATATGGTAGATTTTACTCATGTGAAGAAACGCATTGAAAATAATGGGTTTGGATGTTGAACTTTTCAATGCGTTTGGATGTTGAACTTTCTGATCAAAGCAAGTCATCAAACCAATAGGAATGTTACTTGACTGTGCTTTGGATGCTCTGCTCAAACCCAATCAAGTTTTATCATGATTTTGTCTGCAGTTTTTCTACAGCTCTTGCCACTACTGCTTCTCGACTGGCTGGTGGGTTTGGATGTTGAACTTTCTGATCAAAGCAAGTCATCAAACCAATAGGAATGTTCCTTGACTGTGCTTTGGATGCTCTGCTCAAAACCAATCAAGTTTTATCATGATTTTGTCTGCAGCTGGTGGGTTTGGATGTTGAACTTTCTGATTAAAGCAAGTCATCAAACCAATAGGAAAGTTACTTGACTGTGCTTTGGATGCTCTGCTCAACCCAATCAAGTTTTATCATGATTTTGTCTGCAGTTTTTCTACAGCTCTTGCCACTACTGCTTCTCGACTGGCTGGTGGGTTTTGTGAACAACTTTGTAATTAATGTCAGTTTACATATACCGAGAGAGCTACTAGCTAATTCCTAAGCTCTTAAAGCCGAATTGTACTGTCAGAGGAGACTATGGAATTGTGATGCTTTGTTATCGTATGGAAGTTCTTTTCCGATTAAAAAAGTGAAAATCGTAGCATTGAGCATCGTATCAAAGAAGATTACCTCTCACCTAATTTGTTACTTTTTCAGGAAAGACCAACACCTTCCATATAAAATGAACTTATTTTAAAAAAAAAAAAAACCTATTCCTCGGCCAAATGGTTACGGAGAAGTAATGAACAATGACCCCAAAGACGATTGAAATATGATCACGGAAGACGATTGTTTTATTGATAAAAATTTCTCTTTACAAAGAGAAACTTTTGATACAAACTAAAAAATAGCACCCCTCGGAGAAGTGAACCGACAAAAATAAAACACCACAATTACAAAGGACATTGAAAACAACATAAATGATTACCACAACTGACATTAAATATTGTCTCAAGATTTCTCTTTAAAATGCCTTCCACAACTCTTTGTTTTGTTATATATATATATTAAGACATAAGGGGAGGAATGCTTTGTTCATGTTTAAAGAAATTGTCTGGATCAATCATTGTTTTCACGAATACTAACTTGTCAAAATTATTCTTAAAATATTTGCGGCCCCAAATACTCGCTTGAGCATAACTTGTCATGTTACCTTTGCTGTTCGTTCCAATGTCATTATCTCTATAATTAATATATGCTTCTCGTGGAGATTTCGCAACGAATGAGCTCATGAAACTGTAAAATTTTCTGATCCACCTCATGTACTTTTGAGATTTTATCTGGTCTTCTTGTTGCCAGCCCACAGTATATGCAATTTTGTACATATTGCCAGCTCTGTGTGGAAATGGAGTTGCAGACTCTGGAATCTCAGCCATTTTTGCCCCATAAGCAATAAAACCCATAACAGCAGATTCTGCATCTTCTTCATAAAATTTTGACCATATCCCTTCGAATGCAGCCTCGGGTATAGGTTTTTTCACATAGTCAGATTTTGTTTTGAAGGCTGGACCATTAAGAGTAGTCTTGTAACTCCTGTCGAGTAAAATATCCAAGGATTTGTTTTGAACTTGACCAAAATAGAGAATAGATTCAATCCAACTCATTTCAGTGCAATCTTCCTTCACCAGCCCGAGCTCGGGAAATCTCTCTTGCATCAATGGAATCAGCTTATGAACTCCACCAAGAAAAAAGGAACTGAAGGAAGCTAGGATTGTTCGTTGGCCATGTTTACTAGAATTCACCCTTCTCATTGTAACAGCAGAGAATATATCACCAGGAAGCTTGGGCGCAACGTATTGCCATCGGTGAACAAGTTTGGTTGCATTTTGTTCCAAGGTCTTGCTGATTCTGAATACCGTCACAGTTGCTGGAACAGAAACTAGCTTTACTTTCCACGCAATAACAATTCCAAAGCTACCTCCTCCACCTCCTCGAATGGCCCAAAAAAGATCTTCTCCCATTGATTTTCTGTCAAGAATTCTTCCATTAACGTCGATAAATTGAGCATCAATTATGTTGTCCACGGCAAGACCGTGTTTTCGAAACAATAAACCATAACCTCCTCCGCTGAAGTACCCACCTATTCCCACAGTGTGACAAATACCAGCTGGGAAGGAAAGAGTTCTACTTTTTTGAGCAATTGCATGATAAAATTCACCAAGAATTGCACCAGATTGAACCCATGAAACTTCATTCTTTACATCAATATCGACTGATCGAAAATTAACCAAATCAACAATAACAAATGGAACTTCAGAGACATATGAAAGACCTTCAAAATCATGGCCGCCACTCCGAATTCTAAGTTGTAGGCCATGTTTTTTTGAACAAAAGATTGTTGCTTGAATATGAGAAGTATGCAATGGTGTCACAATGACCAAAGGTTTTGGGGTAGTTGGCGTGGAGAATCTAAGATTTTGAATCAAAGACTCCAAAATTGATGAATAAGTGGAATTGTTTTGCATGTAGATGACTTTAGAGATGGAAGGTATGTCTTTGGAATGAAAAGAAGAAAGGCAATGAAGAAAATTATTGTCATGGGCATTTGCTGAAATAGTCCATGACAATGAAACGAGACCAATCAAAAGAAACAGAGACATTGAAAAGTGAGAAGACTTCATTTTTGAAGCTGATTTAAGGCATGTCTGTGTATTAAGATTTCTCTTATTTATAGAAGAGAGACCAATCCTTGCATACGAATTTGAAGATGTAAATTTTCTAGGTAGGCCCGCTGCTGTTTCTTGAAAATTTTGATCAACTCGGACTTTGCGTTAAGACCATAAGCAAAGCTCCAAAATCGAACGCACTGAAATTCAATCCATGCATTTCTTTATTGTTACTTTTCGTTTAACAATATAATTAAATTAATATAAATTTTTTATTAAAAATTTTTCAATCATAATTATAATAAATTTTATTATTATTTTTAATTTTATCATAATTAATTTTATTATTCATTCAAATAGAACTTTAAAATATAATAAGGTTAAACTCATGAGATCCGTCACCAAACAGTCCAAAGGTAAAAACCCCACTTGTTCATATATATTATTATAATTTTAGAGAGATATCCTAAATCTTATATTAAAATTAATTTTAAAATATAAATATTATACAAAATTAATTCTGATATATAAGTATTTATACAATATCTTCAACTTATAAGACAATATTTGTAATAAAATCGTGAAGTTCAATAAAATTAATAGACCTTGACGCAAACCAAAACTCAATACTGATCGGAAAAGATAGGCCCGTGCACACTCACAATTGACCACGCTTGTCAGCTACATCAGCTGTGTACGAGATATAAGGGCATGAGTTTAAGGCACAAAATTGTATATCATATTATTCCTACTAATTCTCTTTCTTATCATCTTTCTCTTCCATTAACAAAATTTAAATTTTATTTTAAGTGAATTTAATCTAATTTTATATTAAATTTATTCGATTATAAGTTTATTTATTTTTTATTAATTAATTTATTTGATTAATTCATTAATTTTTATATAATAATTATAATTTTTCTTATACTAATATTATATATAATTAAAATAAGTAAATGCATCCATGAGATTTTCAATGTATCATTGAAATCCATCAAGTAATATTTAATTTAATACATACCCAAAAATACATATATAAGATCTAGCTAGCCCTTGCATAGAGTCTAGATCCACCAAATTTCATCCATCTATTTCAATTATTGGTTAATTGTTTTTAAAAAAAAAAACAATTACACTAAACCAGAGTAATAGTGACATTAAATATAATAATAAACAAATATGAATTCCATCTTAAATATTCCATAAAATATTTCTCTTGTGCTATTGAATTGTTTTTATGGGAATAAGATAGATAAGAAAACAAGGGGAAGGAAAACATGTTTTAAAAGAAATTAATGTGATAATAATGATGACAATGCTAAATAAATTTTGTGATTCACCTTAAGATTTTATTTTGACTTTCAGACAAAACGTGTTCCACGAGTTCACCTATCTAATATTTATTTATTATTATTTTGCATTCCGTTTTATTAATATAATATTTTACTTATCACTTTATCAGGAAAAAGGTATGCGAACAATTTGTCCCAAGTGGGTCCAAATTTTAGCCCAAAAAAAGTAGCGGTGTGCATGATTAATCTTGCTTTAAACATGATGAAATTTGCTGAAAAGATAGAGATAACGATGAACTTGTTTTTTATAAACCTTTCGCAATGTGATTTTTTTTTAATAATATAATTAAGATTTTTTTATAAATGATTAGGGGAATTTTATTTTTTACTTAGACATATTCTCTTCTCCTAACAATTTAAAAGCACATGTTTTGCATCAATTCCCTAAATTTAGGATTTTTATTCATACGGTTTTTTTTTGGGCCAAAGAGCAGGCCAGCTCAGTTACAGTTTGAAGGCTTAGGCCTCTGTTATCCTAAAATATCATCTCTATAAATTTCATGATAACGATAGGAGGATTACCTAATTCTTCATAAGCCTCTTTTCCTCTGAAGGCCCAAATAGCTAAAAAATCCATACTAAAGAGGAGTTGCTTATATTGATAAATCATATGAAACAAAAGATTTATTTTTTTTTTATGTAATTAGAATACTTATAATTGCAATCATAATATCAAACATGCCTTAATTTTTTTTGCTCACTTAAAAATGAAGAGATTTATTGTTAATAAAAGGTGAAGATAAAAAAAACTTTATTAATTGAAATATGAGATTTAATTCAAATGATTAATCTATTTTTTTAATAGTTTTTTAAGTCTTGGCTTTTTTTGTAAAAAAAAATTATTGTCTAATTTTCTTAAAGAAGAAAGCAAATTCTGGTCAATCAAGGTAATTTAAAGACAATTATGGAACTTATTATGTTACAACTAAATCAAATTTCTTTTCTTTTTCTTATTTAATTAATTATTTTGTTTTTTTTTTTTAGGGTGGTTTTGATGTTCTGTTGTTTGTATTTTTGGATTCTTATGCGTTGTTTGCTCAGTCGAGCATGTGAGAGATTCTTATCTCTCTTATTGTTCCTTTTATTTTTAATTAATATGAATTGGCTTGAAAAAAAAAAAAAAAAAACTAGTTTTGTTTGAACAGAAATGCCACGGCCGGCTCATGCCTGGGGATCCGGGAGTCTCAATCACAGTTGATGGTCAATTAATTGAACCGCTGCAGTCAGCGGACTCTCTTTGAACAATTAGGACAAGAAGAAATCAAAATACTTGACCAGAATCAGAAAGCAAATTGAGAGAGGGGCAATCAATTGGCAGAGGGAATTGATTATTTATTAATTCAAATTAAAAAGAAAATATAACATATGGAGTCATTGTATAATCTCCTTAAATATAAAAGAAAATAGTAACATAGTATTTATTGCTCATTCAATCATCATATATTGAATGACATATGGAGTCAAATGCTGAAAGTATACGCTAGACAATAGCTGCTAATTAATAACATAAAGCAAAGCCGCTACACATCAAATTTATTACGTTGCACATTCAACTCATACTATTCTCTCTCTTATTTAGTTAAGAAATCGAGGAGGAATACTTTGTTCATGCCTGAAGAAATTCTCAGGATCAATCTTCGTCTTCACATGTACCCAACTGTCAAAGTTCTTCTTGAAATATTTACGACCCCAAACACTTGCTTGCACATAACTTGTTCTGCTTCGTTATTCATTCCGATGTCAAGATCTCTGTAATTAACATACGCCTCTCGAGGAGACTTTCGACACAAAAGAGCTCATGTAACTGTAAGTTTCCGATCCAGCTTATATACCTTTGAGAATTCATGTTCTCCTCTTCTTGCCACCCTATGTTGTAATTTAGTTTGTACAAGTTGCCGATTCTATGCGGGAAAGGAGTTGCAGTCTCTGAGATTCGATCCATTTTTCCCCATAAGAAATAATGTTTAAAGTAGCGGATGTTGCTTCTTCCTCCAAAAGTTGGGACCATATCCCCTGCAATGCAATTTCAGGAATTGGTTTCTTCACGTAATCAGATTTTGCTTTGAAGGAAGGGCTAAGAAGAGGACTTCGGTAACTCCTGTCAAGTAAAATATCCAAGGTTTGATTTGGAAGTTGGCCCAAGAAGACAATGGATTCAATCCAACTCATTTCAATGCAATCTTCTTCAACTAGTCCGAGTTCAGGGAATCTATTTTGCATCAATGGAATAAGCTCATTTGTACGACCAAGAAACAAGGAAATAAAGGTAGCTACAACTGTCCTATTCCCACCTTGAGTAGAATTCATCGTTGAAATCAAAACGGCAGAGTATATATCGTCTGGAAGATTGTGTGCAACGTATTGCCAACGATGAAAAAGTTGGGTTGCATTTTGTTCCAAGGTCCTGCTTACTGAGAATACAGTCACAGTTGCTGGGACAGGAACCAACTTTAGTTTCCATGAAAGAACAATTCCGAAGCTTCCACCTCCACCTCCTCGAATGGCCCAAAACAGATCTTCCCCCATTGATTTTCTGTTGAGAACTCGCCCTTTAGCGTCAATAAATTGTGCATCAATTACATTATCTGCTGCAAGACCGTATTTTCGAAACAATAAGCCGTAACCTCCTCCGCTAATGTATCCCCCAATTCCCACAGTGTGGCAAAGAGCACCTGGAAAGGCAAGAGTTCTGCTCTTTTCAGCAATTCTGTAGTGTAATTCTCCGGTAATAGCACCTGATTGAACCCATGCAACTTGGTTTTCTACATCAACATCGACTGATCGAAAATTAACCAAATCAACGATGACAAATGGAACTTCAGAGACATAGGAAAGACCTTCAAAATCATGACCACCACTTCGAGTTCTAATTTGAAGCCCATGTTTTCTTGAACAATGAATTGTTGCTGAACATGGGAACATTCAATGGTGTTACAATAACCAAAGGTCTGGGGGTAGTTGGCGTAGAGAATCTAAGATTATGAATCGAAGACTCCAAAATAGTGAATATGATGAATTTCTTTCTGTGTAAATAACTGAGAATTGGAAGATGAGTCCTCAGGATGAAATGAAGAAAGGCAATGAAGAAAATCTTCATGGGTATCAGCTGAAGTTGCCCATGACAACGAGAAGAGAACAATAAAAAGAACTGGCAATATTGAATAGTGAAGAGACTTCATTTTGAAACTGATTTTGAACCTGATGATTTTGCGAAGAGTTCTCCTTATTTATAGAGTTATGGGCAATGCTTTGAGTCGCCATGTGAACAAAATTGAAGTTTCTCAGCCCGCGCAGTATAAGTTGATTCTAGAAAGTAGCTGTTACTAGTCAATATATGTAGCATGTTGGTCTGCCTCATTCATTATCATACGTAATTAATTGCGTTTGAATCGCCCAGAATTTGCCTAAGAACATCTCTATTCTCTAATAGGTAATGTCATAAGACTTATAATTTATGTATTGTATGTATCTGTTTCATATAAAATATAAAAATTATTATATTACAATCCATGTCAAACACGTTATTTTTGTCAAATAAATATTATTTTTGTTATTTTAAATCATATTATTTTTTTAAATAGACAGATATAGCAATTTGATTTTAAAACCTTAGTTGCTCGTTACCGGTGCTGTCTTCGACTAATAGAGATCCAATGAACCAGTTTCCAAAATTGAACAAAATTTAATAACAGCAT